TACATCTCATTCAAATTCAAAAGTCCATATATTTTTCCCCTAAATTCATCTCATTCAACTTAACCCAACCCAACCATCACATCCAACNGTAGCTATGGGGCTCTTGGAAGATGATGTAGAGTGGGTACAATGCCTCCAGGAGGCTTCAACCATGAATACTGGATACCAGTTACAGAGACTATTCTGCATCATTTTGGTAGAATGCTCGTCAATACAGCAATGCACTCTGTGGGATCAATTCTCCGTCCATATATGTGATGATCTTCGTCACAAGCTACAAACAACTGTTGGCATATGAGATCCAACGCAGCCTCAGATCGAAGATTATGTTTTATATTTGATTGATCAGTTGCTACATGAATCTGGCAAAAAATTGGATGACTTCCCACCTATGCCACACTCCGTTGAAAATTGGAGTAATATTACAGGTAATAGATTGTTGATCGATCATATGCAACTATGAAATGAAGCAAATCAACTGAATGACCTTTTGAATATTGATGTTTTAAATAATGCTCAACGTATGGCTTACGATGCTATCACTATCTCCATTACTGAAAATCAGGGCAAATTTTTTTTCCTTAATGGAGGTGCAGGAACAGGAAAAACCTTTATGTACAACACCATCACCACTAAAATGCGCAGCGAAGGTCATATCGTCATTACAGTTGCTTCATCAGGAATTGCTTCGTTGTTGTTGTTAGGCGGTCGGACAGCTCATTCTACATTCTTCATTCCTTTCGATATCATAGAAAGCTCGGTATGTGATTTCAGCAAACAGTCAGCACATGGGCAATTATTTAGGGAGGCTCGCTTAATAATATGGGATGAGGTTCCCATGCAGCATCGACATGGTGTTGAAGCAGTTGATCGTACACTCCGCGATGTTCGTGATGATAACCGACCATTCGGCGGTGTCACGATCGTGCTTGGTGGGGATTTTTGTCAAATACTACCGGTTATACCTAAGGGTGGGCGAGAACAAATTGTTAGTGCATCCTTAAGACGTTTTGCAATATGGGCGAGTGTGTGCGTATTGACATTGAGCATAAACATGCGTTTGAATAGTAATTATCCTGTAAATTCTTCTCACGCATCCTTCTTAGAATAGGTGATTTATAGTATAGATTTTTTTATATAAAATTGTCTAATTATTCATTTACGTGTACTGATATGTTTCACATCATACTTAGATTGAGATCAGGTGGCAGGATACTGTTGAACTTCCACCAACGATACACAGGTGTCGAACTATGCATGAACTAATTTCTAGAGTTTATCCACAACTAGATGTGCTCGGTGCAGTAACCCCATCCTACTTAACTGAGCGCACAATTCTTTCCGCTCGGAATGATGATGTCTGCTCTATTAATGATGTTGCTCTACAAATTTACCCTGGCGAGACGTATACCTACTTGGCAGCTGACAAGGTGTCAGATGGGGATGAACTCTGTCGTTCTACCACTAATCAATATCCAAGTGAGTTTCTGAATTCTCTAAACCCATCAGGTTTACCGCCTTTCAAGTTGGAGCTAAAGGTCGGGTGCCCCATCATTTTGTTGAGGAATATAGCCCCGGAAGATGGCCTCTGTAACGGGACCAGATTAATGGTTGTCAAGTGCGCATCGCGGGTTATTGAGACTAGAATTCTAACTGGTGACAAATCTGGGAATCTGTGTTTCATCCCGCGGATATCATTATCACCGTTGTCTAAAGAATTACCATTTCAAATGATTAGACGCCAATTCCTAGTACGCTTAACATATGCTATGACAATCAACAAGTCACAGGACCGGTCAGTCAATTTTGTTGGTGTAGATTTGCGTTTGCCTATATTCAGCTACGGTCACCTATATGTGGCCATGTCTAGATGCATGTCGGCTGATCGCATCAGTGTCCTTCTCCCTCCTAATGGATTAACAACCACGACAAATATCATATATCCGAAGGTGTTGTTGGACTTGGTGTAAATATTACTACATTTTTTAATGTATTGTAACTTGCGTCAGCTCTAGGTTCATGACTTTTATTATAGTTTTAATAGCTTTTTCCATACATGTATAATGAAAATTTTTCAATGATTATATGTTTGTTTTTTGAATTCATGAGCATTTGTGTTCAATGATAATTTTTTTTTCAGTACATGGTTTATTTGAAGGATTATTTATTTATTACATTTGTTCCCAATTTTTGGTAGTTATTTGTCTACGAATAACATTTTTCTTTACATTAATGACGTGTTGAGGAATGAGTAATCCATCATCTCCAATTTTTTTTTATATTCCTCCCTCTTTCACTCTTCTCTCTCTATATTTATCCCTTTCTCACTCTGTTAGGCCATCTCCATCAACACTACTGATGAAACTATTGTCCATATGTTAGGCCATCTCTATATTTCTCTGCTTCTCATGCAAAAACACAACACACGTAATACATGCACAAATACACATGCAACTGCAACCACTTAAACACTCGCATATCGAACTCACACACCACTATATTACCATCAATACAGATTTATGATTGAAATCATTAGACAAATGAACCGTTTGTTGAAATGCTATATAGAAATATTATGTGCTATTTCTCTCCTACATCACGCCCAATTCGATAGGAGTGCAATTAAACATGTCAACTTGGTACCTGTTAAGAGTGGTCAGAGGACGGTAAAATGATGGGCTTTACTTTTGAATGAGTATGGATATTGAGCTTAAGATCTTATTTGATCTTTGATTATTGAAAATCTTATTTTCTATTTTTCTTTCCTTAGGTGGATTGGTTTATGGAAGCGCACCTATAGGTTTATGGAAGGTTATAAAGTTTGCCACTTTTTGCTTGGGTTGATTTACATATATAGAGGCATCTATAATCAAATGATGCTAAATTTGGTTTTATGCTTAGAAGGATATTATGAAATGACTTTATTGATTTAAAGTAGATATATGTTCTTCAAAATCTCGCCAACCTAATATTTATTTTTTATTTTACTTGATGTTCCATCTTCGTGTTAACCAAAGTCTTGCTAAGTGAGATGGTTTTTCACTAACCAATATCATTCGCATTTTTCATCTCATCTATAATATAAAAGAGAGCGGGCTTCAACAAACCGATCGTACGATTTTCATTCATCCAAAGACTTCAACATCCAAAGGCTCACAATACATCTCATTCAAATTCAAAAGTCCATATATTTTTCCCCTAAATTCATCTCATTCAACTTAACCCAACCCAACCATCACATCCAACCCAACGACTCTTCCCCAAATCTCCTCTCTCATCTCAGTCTCTTCGCTCTCAGCCACTGCCAGAACTAGTCACGCTCGATTTCGAAGAGGTCCGGTAACAAACCCACTTCAAAATCAACAGCAACAGAAAATCATCACCGCAGTATCGGAGCCGATCGGTGCAAGTACCGCCAACTGCCATCAAGCAGCAGAGGAGAAGGCAATAATCTCCGATTGCCAACTGCCAAACCCAGGTATTTCTCCCTCTTCTCTGTCTCAATCTCTCTCCCCCTTCTGCGCAACCCCTCACCCCTACCCCGTCTGCAAAACCAACCCACCAACCCCCACCAAAAAACCCACCCACGCACACAGAGAAGCACACACACTCATAGCAGAACACTCCTATTTATAGGTAGTGTGGTTGTTTCGCAAGTGGTGAGATTAAACCATTGACGAAATTGAAGGGTTGGAAGTTCAGAAGAAACCTTTCCATGGTGATTTGTAGCGAAGATGTACTAATTCAACATTGAATTGGTGCAGTGAATCAGAAGGTGGGTAGCTTCAAAGCCAATGGAAGCACATTTCATGAAAAAGAGACTACAATCCGGTAGTTGTTTTTATTGGAGTCGNTCAATACAGATTTATGATTGAAATCATTAGACAAATGAACCGTTTGTTGAAATGCTATATAGAAATATTATGTGCTATTTCTCTCCTACATCACGCCCAATTCGATAGGAGTGCAATTAAACATGTCAACTTGGTACCTGTTAAGAGTGGTCAGAGGACGGTAAAATGATGGGCTTTACTTTTGAATGAGTATGGATATTGAGCTTAAGATCTTATTTGATNACCAGCTGATGTGAAAAGAAGCCAAAGATTCTAGCTGCAAAGGGGAGACCCTGAATAAGTTTAAATAGCTTGCTGCCGTGTAATCCACAAAATTCCAGCTGAAGAAGAAATATGGTTGAAGTATTCCGGCTAAAAGAAATCCAGTTGTGTGAGGCCAGCTAAAGTAGTCCAGCCGAAGGAAAAAAAACCAGCAAGACTAAAAATTTGGTTGTGCCTGTTGCACTATATCACTTAAAGTTTAAATATAGGTGTTTTGGTAGGATTAAGACATAGGGTCAGTAAAAGACATAGGGATATATACTTGTAGCATGAACATAAATTCTTTTTGAAATAGCAAGTATATAACCACGTGCTTGAATGTTTGTGACAATGATTTATACTTGCAGCATAATTTATATACTTGCAGCAATGTTTATGACGTGGTTCAGCATTGGGATATATACTTGCAGTTTAAATTTGGATTTGGGTATGGACTATGGAGAGGGAACGCATATGAAAACTATGTTAGTATATTAATCATAGATGAATTCACATAGAAACATTGATTACTTCGTAATAGCTGTAGTGAAAAATGGTTACTTTGCATATCTAACCTGTAAAGTCTGAAAGAAACTAGATTGTTCAAAGCTTACATTAAAATGCCTTGGGGGAGTATATTACTTTTGAGAGATTCGATGGTCAAAGCTCAGAATTATATTAATGTTGGCTCTCCAAGTTAAAGTGGACATCCTAAGAGTAATGTGAAGGCTTTATGTGGTAAATCTAAAAAAAGCCAAGCCAAACAATTGGCTCTAGATGGGGATTTTGGCTGGTTTGTGCAATATTGTGTGGACACAGAGTAAACCCAGGAGGGGAAATGCTGTAAAATGAGCAAAACCCTTTTTATGTGGAGGGTTATAGATGGTTTAGACTTGGGGAGTGGAGATGGGGTAAGGAGGTTGTGTAGGGTTGCGTTGAGTGGGGGGAGTGAGGGGCAAGAGCTGTGGGTTGTGGTTTTTTTGAAGTGTTTTGTTGAATTTTAGTATGGGGTTGTGTGAGATAGTATTGTAGCTGCTCCAATTAGAGTTATACTGCATTTCAATATATTATGCCCAAGTTTGATGTTTTGCTTCAAAGAAAATACCTATAAGCAATTTCTCATGATTAGCAGCTTCGGTTTTATAGCTTTGGAAAAAGCAGTCTTATTATTGAGTAGACTGGAGATTCATTCGTTGGAATCTTAGGATTGCTTGCAATTCTACTTATTGTATTATATTTACACACGAAACTTCACAATCTATGGAGCAACACTTTGTGAATTGTGAATTGTAGTTCTAATGCTATTTAGTTCCTTATCAATTGACGGTTTTGTGGTGTTTCAGGCTTCAAACATTATTGGAACTAGGACGTTTGGGTGTGGGAATACCATTGTGGAATGAGAGGACTTCCTTTGAGAACTTCACTTTTCACCTTTGGAGTTATTGGGTACTTTACGTATTGTAGTTTGAGGCTTGCAGTGATATTCAAATAATTCTCTGTTGTTCATGTATGGTTTTAAACTAGATTTCTTTCTCATGAAATTTTTTGCTTATATTCTGACAGGATATAACATTTCCTTTTAGGTGTTCAAATAAATGCCCAATTTGGTTGAATTCTTATGTTCTTCAGCAGGCACCTTAACAGTGAATAAAACCTTGAACCAAGACTACACCACATTGTATTTGTAAAATTTGTGAAATGATAAATATTCTATTTGACATGAAGTTTGAGACGTTTCGACAGTATAAATGCTGAAACTTTTTAACAGTATAAATTTGATGAGAATTGTTCATTGAGTTGTCTTCATTTTTTGTGAGCATTGACCGAGAGGTTTTGGTTAAATTGGTTGGTTTCTTTTCAAATTATATAATGTCAATTTTTACATTTGGCTATGTCACAGATTCACAGTATTGAATTGTTGTGAAGTTTGTCCAATTTTGAGCTTCATGTTACTCCTCTCGGCATAGTATCAGGGTAATCGTTATAAGGTGGCCATGTAATAAATTATTACCTTTTAAATTAGTTAACATTGTTCACACTTTCCTGTGAATGACACAGGTCAACTACTATATATAGGGCGTGTTCGATTTTTTTTAATTGCACCGTGCCTTCAGGCATAGATTATCTCTAGTAAATATAAAAAATGAAGGTACAGCACCGGAAAAAAAAAATTGGCACCGTACAAAAATCCTTCAACTAGTGGGTTTTATCTTCACAAAGAAAGACCATTGCTTAAAGCATGGAAGTTATTTTTTCGTTATCTCAATCAACTCATGACTGCAACATAAATCTTGTATGCATGTATTAAGCCCAATATTATGCAACCAAGGATACTCGAACTTAGAATATGCGGATTATGTCTCGTTTCTTATTGGTTGTGTGCATGTTTATTTCAATCAGAAGGTGACCATGGCATTTTTCAAATGAACATAAGCTTTGGCAAGGCTTTTTGATTTGACATCAATCATACATTTTTATAAATAACTGAGATTCCACCAAGGTAATCTTATATCACTGATAAAGATACAATCTAAGCTCTACATGTAATTGGTGATTAAGTATGTTGGTAATAGCTTCTTTTTTTTTTGTTGTTACTTTGACAATGTTGTTGTTGTAAGCTTGTATACTATGAAAACATCTCCACAGGCTGATAAAATTGTAGAAGAAACTAACTCATGGGCTAAGAAGGCAACAAAAGGGCTTATCACAGATGTTCTTCACGATATCCATCCCAATACGAAACTTCTCCTAGGAAATGCTGTCTACTTCAAAGGATCTTGGATTGATGAATTCGATCGTGAACAGACTGAGAATAGAGACTTTTACCCTCTCGACGGAGACAAAGTTTCAGTTCCCTTCATGACCAGCAATGAAAATTACCTTTACGGATCATTCAATGGTTTTAAAGTTCTTAAAATCCCTTATCAAAGCGGCCAAGACGAAAAGATGTTCTCAATGTATTTCTTTCTTCCAGACAAGAGAGATGGATTGGAAAACCTGCTAACAAAGGTTAATTCTGATCCCGGGTTCTTACACAAACATTTTGAGCTAAGGAGTGTCGAATTCAATGAGTTTTGGATTCCAAAATTTAAGTTCTCGTCTACCTTTGAAACGTCAAAGACCATGATAGAAATGGGACTAACACTACCTTTCATGGAAGACTGCATGGAGCTGACAAAGATGGTAGAACTTCCCTCTGGTGTACCATTATACATCTCACAGATAATTCAAAAGGCTTCTATTGAAGTAGATGAGGGAGGCACAGAGGCTGCGGCTGTCACTATGACTGATTATTGTGGTTGTTGTCTAGAAGCTGATATCCCAGAAACTGAAAACTTTGTAGCTGATCACCCTTTCATGTTCATGATCAAGGAAGAGACATCTGGGATGGTGCTTTTCACAGGAGCTGTATTCAATCCCTTTCTTTAATTTGGAATAAACTTGAAGCTTAATTAGAGAAATTTTTTTTTTTTTAATGATATACACTTTTTATGCCTATTCTGTCCATATAATTAATTACCTATTTGTGCAATCCAGAATAGTTTAAAAAGTACTTGGTTGATATGATTTTCCGTTTCCCTAAAAATAATTACAAATGCGGGGGAAATAGATCGGTTTGAATTTGTTTGATTCACGTGATAAGCAACATATATAGGGACAATTGCGATGCCTAGTGTTTGATAAATACCCTCAGACACGATTGCAAAATTGTATAGTAAGAAGTTGCTTGATTGGCTTGACAAGTATCTAAGCATGGAGACCCTCGAAACACACATATAATTGAGCATTGTTTGGCTATACTTCATAAACATATGGCAATCGATAGCTAGATACCCATTGTTTGATCACTGCAGATAGCCAGATACTACCGTATTTCAAACACTTATACTTATCCTATTTCCAATGGTAGCAGAAATTACAATGCATAATTTAGTCTATATATATATATATATATATATATATATATATATATAATGAAGTTTCGAAAAAATATCACACCCGAACCGGTGTTCTAGTGGTAAGTTATATCCGTTTACGGTAAATACATAAGAACTAACATCTGTGTTCTAATATAGTGAAACAAACTATATGTACATCATCTACAGGTAAAGTCCATTAAATCAAAATTGCTGTCAGAAATTATTTCCAGCAAGACAGAAGAAGAATCATAATATTTACATCTGCAGCAATAATTCTATAAATTTGTATCTCACCCCTAGAGTTGAGTGAGATTATATGTCTTCATTTCTTCATTTTCATCGTTTCCTTTTGAGTGTAAAATCATCTCCTGGAGTAAGCTGCAAGTATGAACATGTCATTGCTAAAATTGTTGAACTAATTCAGATTCCTTCTAGTATACTTTATCTCCACTTTTTCTCTTAGTAGACCACAAACATTAAGAAGAAGAATACAGGAGGCGATCTCTATCCCCTGTACCACTTGAATTCATTTGCCTGCCATAGAAAAAGCCACCAGAGACTCCTAAAGCAGCATCAGCATTATAGGAGAAGAAAATCNTTTTTTTTTTTTTAATGATATACACTTTTTATGCCTATTCTGTCCATATAATTAATTACCTATTTGTGCAATCCAGAATAGTTTAAAAAGTACTTGGTTGATATGATTTTCCGTTTCCCTAAAAATAATTACAAATGCGGGGGAAATAGATCGGTTTGAATTTGTTTGATTCACGTGATAAGCAACATATATAGGGACAATTGCGATGCCTAGTGTTTGATAAATACCCTCAGACACGATTGCAAAATTGTATAGTAAGAAGTTGCTTGATTGGCTTGACAAGTATCTAAGCATGGAGACCCTCGAAACACACATATAATTGAGCATTGTTTGGCTATACTTCATAAACATATGGCAATCGATAGCTAGATACCCATTGTTTGATCACTGCAGATAGCCAGATACTACCGTATTTCAAACACTTATACTTATCCTATTTCCAATGGTAGCAGAAATTACAATGCATAATTTAGTATATATATATATATATATATATATATATATATATATAATGAAGTTTCGAAAAAATATCACACCCGAACCGGTGTTCTAGTGGTAAGTTATATCCGTTTACGGTAAATACATAAGAACTAACATCTGTGTTCTAATATAGTGAAACAAACTATATGTACATCATCTACAGGTAAAGTCCATTAAATCAAAATTGCTGTCAGAAATTATTTCCAGCAAGACAGAAGAAGAATCATAATATTTACATCTGCAGCAATAATTCTATAAATTTGTATCTCACCCCTAGAGTTGAGTGAGATTATATGTCTTCATTTCTTCATTTTCATCGTTTCCTTTTGAGTGTAAAATCATCTCCTGGAGTAAGCTGCAAGTATGAACATGTCATTGCTAAAATTGTTGAACTAATTCAGATTCCTTCTAGTATACTTTATCTCCACTTTTTCTCTTAGTAGACCACAAACATTAAGAAGAAGAATACAGGAGGCGATCTCTATCCCCTGTACCACTTGAATTCATTTGCCTGCCATAGAAAAAGCCACCAGAGACTCCTAAAGCAGCATCAGCATTATAGGAGAAGAAAATCGGAATCCTGAGGCTTAAATTTTTAAATAGCATTGACCCTCAAGCACGGCAACTTGATAAATCTTCAATATCGATTCAAATTCTGAGCAGGATAGCTAGTTTCTTCTTGGCTGTACATACAGGAGAATGAATTCTGCTTCCTTATCCATCTACGTCTAAGGCTAAAGCACGTTTAGAGGTGTGGGATTTCCCTTCCATGAATCCTCAAAAAAACATAAGGATGGTTGTTGTCAGCTCCGATGTGTAGACTGTTGGAAAAAAATTGCAGTGCTGACATTATGTGAAATGCAGTTGAGCTCTGGTGAAGATATACAAGGAAGGACTTCTAGTATAGAACGAGGAGAGTGACGAGGGGCAGCTCCAGAGTCCGAAGTTTCAGGATAAGATTGAGTACAAGTTTCACTGGAATAACAAACAAATTATGTTGCATGAGACAAGATATGGTGGCCAAATTTTTGACTACTCTAGATCCAATAGCATAGTGAAACAAAGATAAACCAACCCATTATCCAGAAATTTTCCATGCCTAATCCATGTTCCTGGTGAAAGTGGCTTCAAATCCTTTTTCCAGCCTCTTGGACTGTGCGGTGTATCCTGGAAAACAATTGGCAAACAAATTAAGATAGACTGTCAATCCAGCACATACATGTATGGAGATGTATAAACAGGTTATTTTCAGCAGTTTCTGAAATAAATTAAAATAATGACAAAAGTACAATATAAACACCAAGGCATTTGACACTTACAGATAATCTTATTCCCAAAAATTCTTCTGTGCAAGCTGAGACATTTGGATCATGTGAGTTCTTTAAGAAAGGATGCTCAAGTAGCACAGCAGCTGACGGCCGATCTGCAGGATTTCTACGAAAGCAGCGTTGGAGGAAATCCTTTCCTTCTGAAGATAATGATTCTGGTATAGGTGGACACCTATTCAAAACATTGAACATAGCTTGCACCTAAAGGACAGCACAACATGGAATACATTTAATTGATGAAGTCGAACAACCCTGCGTGTTTGCACATTTTTGTACTCAAAAACGTTTTCTGAAAGAATTCAATAAATATGAAATAGCAGCAGAGGCACCATAGACACCACAAAAGCAATGACAAATACACAATCAATCCCAATTCTACTCTTTCTATATCCAACCACAGTAATGATCTAGCAAGCAATATCAGTATGTAAATATACGACATATGGAGAAAGGCAAACCAAAGAGGCTGGAATCGACGCAAATAATTGTAAGCAAAGTACACATGAATCTACCCACGTGAGTAAGGATAACAAGCAGATGACAGAACAAGAGGAATGTTGAACCTCCTAGCAAAAATCATGTCCTGAAAAACATGACAAAAGCATGTACAGAAAAACAACTCTCCCTGGAGGCCACAAAATCATGAAGCTCGATATCAATTGCTTCAACCTGAAATCAGGCAGAAACACATCCTCAGCAGATTCCTGTTTCTCTGTTCCAAAATACACCAAAAGATGCAAAATCAAGCAATAATAAACACAGGCTTTTATTCTACCAATGGCTGGTTCTTTGTTTTTGTCATCCCTAATGTGCTTCGAGCATGGCAGCCGCCATTGACCACCTCGAACTGACCAACAGTGAACTCACTCAAACATGGCTGTTTCTTTTGGTGGTCGAAATATAAGGCCAGGTTTTTGTCAACATGCAGTACAATCCACTGCTAATAACCCTTAAAAGGACAGCTACACTGCCAAAAATCACCACATCGTTTTCAAAGACTACCCCACAACACCCTATGAACCCAAATTAAGAGGGAAGCACACTTTCTTCAGCAACTCAAGAAAACCCAATACTGTGCTCAACCAGCAACCTTATCTAGATCACACTTGTCAGTAACCAGAAAGAGTACCCAATACTGCAATACCCATAACAAAACTTAGGCTTCTTGAATTCAGACGAAGAGTTAGAGAAAAGCTTAGAGCATATAACAGAGCCACCTTCCAAAGAATTCTCAGTTCATCTCTCCTACTTCTGCACTCTAATAAACAGTTCCTCATTTAATAGCTTTTCCTGCCCATTATTGCCATACCACAAATCCTGAGCTTCGTTCTACGTGTGTTTGGAGTTTTTCCTTGGGAAGGGGGTTTGGGTATGTTACGAAAAATAGTATACAGAACATATTATTTAAGAAACAACTTGAGCCACCAAATAGGCCTGTCAACCGATCAGTTTTGGACAGGATCTAGGTCCATCCGAATCTGATTAAAAAATCTATTACCTAATCCGATCTGTTTACCCAACGGATATAAAAATATTAGTCCATATTCGAATCCGCTTATAATCATCCGGTTCGATTACCCAATCCAATCTGTAATGGTATTCCATTAAAATTTTAACAAATAATTTTTTTAGATCAAATACAAATAATCAATATATGTGTATATATATTAACCGAATCGGATTTTTATTGGATTAGATTTGTATATATCCATATACATATTTGATTTAAGATATCTAAATGAATTTGATTTAAGATATCTAAATGAATTTGGATTGGATTCAGATACATGGATGAAAATATTAGTCCATATTCGATTAAACGGATTCTAATTCGGATTCAGACTACAATCCGGTCCATTGACAACCTACCACCAAACTCTCGCTTCGAGACAATCTCAGTACCATTGAACTACAAGAACAACACAAAATTCATAGGTACTATAAAAAAACAATAATAACTCTAAAGAGGACGAATTTACAATGAGAATACAAAGCATTTGGCATATTGAGAAGTTCTGACGGGTAATAAGTTGGGAACTGTGAAGCTAAAACACATGATTACCTCATTGAATTCACTCCAAGGAGGTTTTCCTGTCAGCATTTCAATAACAGTACAACCCAAGCTCCATATGTCAATAGCAAATGCAAGCTCTGGATTGGCATCTTTTCGCATCACAGCCTGCAGAACCTGCACAAGAAAGAAAAAAGAATCTGTGTAAGCAGTTGCAAACCATCCACCTGCTCCTAGAGATATGTAAATGCGAAGTGAAATACCTCTGGAGCCATCCAGCGTGGACTGCCCTTCAAAGAAAGATCAATTGCATATCCGTTGAGCTAAATACAAAATAAAAGGGAATATTAGAGCAGGAAGTTGAGTAGAAAGGAAACAAAAGAACCACACAACCGAGCTAAAATGAAAAACAATCTCACAGAAAATATACAGACCAAGTCATCAAGACTGGCAGTCTACCATTTATCAGAAATTTTGGTATGCCTCTCTAAATCAATCCCTTCACCTATGAAAGACACTAATAGGAATAACTCTCATAGTAAATCACCCATATACAAACCTTGCAATTATAATGGCCTCATTAGTCATTAGACATTGTGTGATGTCATATCAGAGGCATTTCCTGTTTTACAGGGACATTATTGCAGTTATCCAAGTTAGTCATGTATGTTTCTATTTTTAAGCACAATTTTTTCATAGGGAAATATAGTCATTCTTCAGGTATAAACTCAGTTTATCTTTCAATATGTGATAGTATCTCCTTCATTGACTTGCACTGACTTATGGCAATATACTCTTCTACATGGTTGCCACTATCTTAATATATCAGATAAGTTGCACTCTGCAATACATTAATGCATACATCTCACGAACATTGTATATTAACGCTCTGTCAGAATAGCAAAATTATTACCCTATGTACACCAAGATTTAAAAGACACTACTTTTCTTTCTCGAAACTCCTTCACAACAAAATTTTCTATCATCCTCTTATGAAAGGGTATCTAGGTAGCAGAAGCTTTAAATAATCCAGGGACCCAAAGTTTCATTCAGGCATATGGAGAATTGACCATAGTGTTCACCCCCGTCAGACTGTTTCACAACTACAATGTGTCCAAAACAGCACTGTGATCAACCAAGTATACCGAGATATTTCTCAGAAAATAAAAAAAAAAAACACAGAAATTATAACTGACATTTGACAGTTAAAATAGCAGCATTTGCTAAGAAGACAAATGTCCATAAAATAAATTTAGAAGATCAATTAGAAAATTTGATTGGCATTCCAAAAACTTCAGAGCTCACATGTTTTGCCAACCCGAAGTCAGCAAGCTTGACAACGCCGGCTGCATCGACTAGTAAATTGGCCCCTTTAATGTCCCTATTTAACACAATCATCTGACTTGTCAAAAAATATCATCAATAGAAACTACCAAAATGCATAAACATTTTTTCTTTCTCCAAACTGAACATATTAAAGACAACAATAAGCAATAGCTTGCTCCTTGGTAAGATGGTTATTAAAGAAGTTTAGTTTTTTCTTCAACATAATTGTGTTCATGGATCATATAATGAACAAAGCTTTATTAAAAGAGTAGAAAGTGCACTTACTAAAAGAGATATTACCTGTGGACTGTCTTCCTGCTGTGCAAATAAGCCAACCCTGACAGAATATGGCGGGTGAAATTGCGGACTACAGATTCTGTCACAGCCCCACAATGTTCCTGTACATATTTATTGATTGATCCAGGATGAACATACTCAATATATATGCAAAAGTGATCGCCAATCTGCACAAGGAGCAACACTTAACATAAATCAATCCAAGTTATGAGAAATTAATAAGCAGCCAATCTGGGTTATACAAGATAGCATGAAACCAAATAAAGACTTACTATTTCACTGCCATAATACTGCACAATATTTGGATGCTTTAAGTGCTGAAGAAGTTTAATTTCCTGAAACAAACAGCAAAGAGAGAGAATAATAAATATCTTTGAATGTAAGATCAAGAACAATCAACTATAATGCTACCGAGGTCAAGACAGGCAATTAGTGTCATCAAACTTGCTCCAGAGAATTGAAGCCAGAGTATAACATAGTACTATACAATATTACAACAACATATACAGACTCTGGAGAATAACCTGCTCCAACTGCTTTATACATTCAGTGGACTTAGTGTCATCAATAATAACATCAACTTCTTTCATTGCACACAAAGCTCCAGTTTCACTGCCAGACAAAAAAATCCATTGTAACATCTAAGGCAGTTAAAAAAACCTAGCTAAAAGCTTAAGCATGCTTGCATACCAGTTGGTCGCTTCATAAACACTACCAAATGTACCGCGTCCTATGAGTTTTCCTCGTTTCCATTGACCTTTCATTGATGATACATCTGATTTATCCATATTGTGACGAATGTTAGGAGATTGTGATGGCCTTGAAACACCCGGTGGAAGGGGTAATGGATGTACGCTGGCATTATTAACTTCAAGCCATGCTGTGGAACTTTCTGGGAGAGATTTGTGATATGAATGCAGTGCAACACCAGTAGAACTTCTATTATTGCGGTGTGGGCTCAGTAATGTTGGGCTATGAAGTGGAGAGTGATCAGGACTGGGTATAATTCTTGCCGGTGATGCTGCTTGGGACACCTGAAATTCTTGAGGAACCATGAATGAAGACTGAAAAAGGTCCACCGTGCTAAATCTTTTGGGGCTAAGGGCAGGACTTGAGAAACTACTTGTTGGAGCACTCCTTGCAGGGACATTCAACCTGAAGTCGTGGTTACCACTTCCATCGTTTAAGTCTTGAGGGAACCCCCTACGGCGATAAGTCGGAGATTTTGCAGATCGGGTGCCCACATGATCTGCGGCCTTCTGATTAATTTGATGAGAGCAAGAGCTGCATAATCACATGGTAAACAAATTTATTTATCTAATAGGAAGTTGACCTCATTTCTATGTAGAAAAACAAGAAGAACCAACAACATAGGTTATTAGAGATGACCATAAAAGATTCATCAACCAAATTTATAGATCATGTTTGTATGTATTATCAAGCACATAATACTTATGGCTCCGATTAAACTAACACAAACCTAAATTCTTCAACTAATATTCGAGTTAAAATCAAGCAAAAAAAACCCATTTGATGATTCAAGAAGAGGGAAAAGGTGTACCTCTTAGTAGCAAAGCTTGATGATATCCCATCTGTTGTCCCATCCCTTCCATCTCTCTCCTCTCTGCACGGCCCTGCTGTCGGCGATGGCAAATTAAAACCCAACCCCGATGACCGATTCAACTCCGGGAGCGGCAACGGTTGCGGCACCGCCCAGGACGACCAATGACCCACGTTCCTCGGCGACCGTACTCCGGAGTCCGGCGACACCGGCAATGACTGTGATCGATCATGATTCACCCTCAAACCAAGCTCAGCATCACTTACATGCCTTAGCTTCCTCTGTCTCGTAAGCTTCCTGTTCAACCCCCTCAATCCTTTCGACCCTCTACCATTCTTTAAGAAACTACTATCCTTTACACTTTCCGAGAGAGGAGACTCAGGAGAAGTTGAAGATGAATTCGCAGACGATGAGAATGATTTCTTGGGCGAAGGCATCTGGGTTTTTCGGAAATGGAGAGAGAAAATCGAACCCGTCATCTGAGACAATCAACGAAATTTAAAACCTGAGTTTTTCCGATCGGACATTGAAGAAATCAGAGTAGTCGTCGCTTGGCCACACACTTCACGACACTTTTGTCAATGGTTGAATCCGAAGCTCCATTGAGGTTTGTCTCCATCCTTCCATTTTTTCCTATATAGTACCGTTTGACTTGAACAATGAAGTTTGACAAAATCGCCGTGTAAGAACCGAATTGAGAAACTAGTGAGAAGTTTAAGATTGTTCACACGGCGGTTGACGTCTTTTTTTATGACAGTGAGGAGAGAGAAAGACAAATGAAGAAGCGAATTTGTGCGGTTACCCCGTAGTAGGTAGACAGTGAGATTGACATAATACTCCAACGTCAACGCTACCAAAAAAAAAAACCTTTATGGGTGTCAAAGGATTTAACACGTAAATTTCAGCGCGCATGATTTCTCTTTTAGTAAAAAAGATTATTTGAGTTGCACGACAAAAGAAATTAGTTGAATTATACATAAATTAATTCAAACGGTTCTATAACTTGAATTAAAAGAAATAAAAAATTATGGGTGTTGTAAGTCCAATTTTGAGTAAATTACACATATAATCATAAAATTATGACTCTTATATTAATTAATTCTTTAAACTTTTTTTTATATCAATTGAATTTTTTATACTCTCTAATTATATCAATTAAGTTTTTTTAATGAAAAGTGACAGAGTGTATCATTTAACGTGACTAAATTGGGTAGGAATGTAGAATACTCGTCAATTTTTGCATTCTTATCCTACCCTACCCGTAAAAAATATATTTAAATTTTTTACTAATTATAAGAGTATTTGTGTGGTATAATTTATATTATAACATTGCTATTATCGTGAATTTTGAATTGCTAAAAATATGGATTTATTTTTTGTGTAGGTTACATGATTTGTGGTAAACTAATGATCTATTAGAACAANCGGCGATGGCAAATTAAAACCCAACCCCGATGACCGATTCAACTCCGGGAGCGGCAACGGTTGCGGCACCGCCCAGGACGACCAATGACCCACGTTCCTCGGCGACCGTACTCCGGAGTCCGGCGACACCGGCAATGACTGTGATCGATCATGATTCACCCTCAAACCAAGCTCAGCATCACTTACATGCCTTAGCTTCCTCTGTCTCGTAAGCTTCCTGTTCAACCCCCTCAATCCTTTCGACCCTCTACCATTCTTTAAGAAACTACTATCCTTTACACTTTCCGAGAGAGGAGACTCAGGAGAAGTTGAAGATGAATTCGCAGACGATGAGAATGATTTCTTGGGCGAAGGCATCTGGGTTTTTCGGAAATGGAGAGAGAAAATCGAACCCGTCATCTGAGACAATCAACGAAATTTAAAACCTGAGTTTTTCCGATCGGACATTGAAGAAATCAGAGTAGTCGTCGCTTGGCCACACACTTCACGACACTTTTGTCAATGGTTGAATCCGAAGCTCCATTGAGGTTTGTCTCCATCCTTCCATTTTTTCCTATATAGTACCGTTTGACTTGAACAATGAAGTTTGACAAAATCGCCGTGTAAGAACCGAATTGAGAAACTAGTGAGAAGTTTAAGATTGTTCACACGGCGGTTGACGTCTTTTTTTATGACAGTGAGGAGAGAGAAAGACAAATGAAGAAGCGAATTTGTGCGGTTACCCCGTAGTAGGTAGACAGTGAGATTGACATAATACTCCAACGTCAACGCTACCAAAAAAAAAAACCTTTATGGGTGTCAAAGGATTTAACACGTAAATTTCAGCGCGCATGATTTCTCTTTTAGTAAAAAAGATTATTTGAGTTGCACGACAAAAGAAATTAGTTGAATTATACATAAATTAATTCAAACGGTTCTATAACTTGAATTAAAAGAAATAAAAAATTATGGGTGTTGTAAGTCCAATTTTGAGTAAATTACACATATAATCATAAAATTATGACTCTTATATTAATTAATTCTTTAAACTTTTTTTTATATCAATTGAATTTTTTATACTCTCTAATTATATCAATTAAGTTTTTTTAATGAAAAGTGACAGAGTGTATCATTTAACGTGACTAAATTGGGTAGGAATGTAGAATACTCGTCAATTTTTGCATTCTTATCCTACCCTACCCGTAAAAAATATATTTAAATTTTTTACTAATTATAAGAGTATTTGTGTGGTATAATTTATATTATAACATTGCTATTATCGTGAATTTTGAATTGCTAAAAATATGGATTTATTTTTTGTGTAGGTTACATGATTTGTGGTAAACTAATGATCTATTAGAACAATTATGATTTTAATGTGTTTCATATGATTTAAACTTAAAATAATTGTTATTGTATTTGTGTAACAATGATGATGTGTTGATGTTCATACTTTCTTGTGTTTTATTGTAATTGTTGTTATGGTTATTTTAAGTTTTAGTATTATTGATTTATTGTATTGTTAAATTGGTACATATTATTTAATTGAATTATAAAAATGATTAAAAAAATTAATAATTACAAAAGTGTTTATCCGATTTTCTACTCAACTAATCGGATAAAAATATAGCGTAGGTAAAGAAAAAAAAATTCGTAAAATTTGGGTAGAAAGAGAATATATTATATTTTTTAATCGTATGGTAGGGTAAAGTCGCCTTATAAAGATAAGGAAGAAAAGGCGTACCAACGTGCATGAAGTTCTCGGAAACGTGTTCGAAGGTAGGGGAGAAGGAGCCTTTAAATACTGGTCCTCACGGCAGTCTTTTGTGTATGCCCCCAAAAGCAACCTAAAAGGGGGATTGGATTATGTTTTCTTCTAATATGACTTAATTAAAAATTAATTTTATTATTTATAAAATTAATTTCTCTAGATGGAAACGGGTGAACAATCTACTAAATAAATGATTTGGTTGATTTTTCACCAAATAAATGTACATTGTTTTATGCAAGTCATGTGTTGATATTGGATTACTTAGGATGTAAGTAATCACACAAAAAAGTCTTGTTATAGAAATTTAAATAATTAATTTAATGACATAATTTATTGAAATTATTGAATCAACACTAAATTATAAGGTTTAATAGGATCCACAATTAATCTAAATATTATATTAAATTGAGTCAACAAATTATATTAATAAATTAAGCCGGATAACATTCATCAAATTATAATAATTAAAGGTGACCCGTGCCTGAAAGCCAAGGATCAAAATTTTATTTTCGTATATTATTTCGGTCACCTAAGAAACAGAAACGTTTTGATATGTTTTGGAAACGTTTCGACCTTTTTTTGGAAACATAACAAAAAAAATAAAAAATTTAATAATTATTTTTCTAAAAAGTTGATTTAAATATATTAAAATATCTTAAAACATTTCCAAAAAAACTGTTCATATGCATTGCAATATTATAATAAATCTCAAAACATTATAAAATATCTCAAAATATCAGAATTTAGATTTCATCACTGATCCGTTTTGGTCTTCTTGAAAACGGAAATATTTTGGAAGTTTCAAAAAGATATTTTGATACTTGTTGAAGGTACGGTGCAATGTGAATAATTTTGAGAGGAATATTAATGGCCATTAAATAAGTTTATTTAAAATTATCGAACGAATTGATTGAAATTTGTCTTATTTTATATTATAAATTATAAATATCCCGTGACTTAATTAACGGTACATAGCGAATAGTTTTGAAATCGTTGGTGACCGTTGATTAAATCTAATCTTCACCGTCCAAAGAAATTATTGAAATCCAACGGCCAATGTGTTAAGCTAAACAGAACGAATTACGAATTACGAGAAAGCTCGTGATTCTTCCCTCCTTATGGAGACGAATCGTCTTCGACCTCTACTCAATCAAGCGATTTCATACTCTTCTCAACTTCACAGACTCCGCTTCATCTCGTCGTCGGCCATCGTCGGCCAGAGAGCCTGGGGCTTCTTCTCCGACGATCCGGAAGGTGGGAGCGCCGTGTACCGTCACGTCCTCAAGTTCCAGCGACCCTCCACCATAAAGTATCGCTCTCAGTTGCACAACTCCGTTAGCTTCATCGGTACAATCAACCGTCCGTTGACAAGAATCAACATCGGTAACGGTCGATTCGGTGTACATACCATTCTTAATGTCAAGACTTACCGTGACTACAATCAGTCTTTTAGGTGAGGCCCTTTTTTGATTTTCCCTCTGTTTTAAAAAATTCTGTCCACTTCCTTGTAATATATCCTTTTGTTTTTGTGTTGGTGCATACCTTTGGCTTGAATTTGTGAATTGTGAAGTAATATCTACCACTAGGTGAACTCACAGAGATGGATTTGTGAACAGGGTATTATTGAAGATGTGGGATGAGATGGCGGAAATGTCTGTGCAACATCTGAAACCAAATGATCTTATATATGTTTCAGGTCATTTAGGATCATACGCGATGGCTGATGAGACTGAAGATTTCAGAATGAATTACAAGGTTTGAAATGCTGTCGGTGTTCTGAGTCTTCTGACTTCTTTTTTTTTTTAATCTAAGATGTGTAGATCCTTGTTAATAGGAGTTTAGATCTTGGGCATGATATTGTTTTCGCTAGTGTTACTGTAATGTTTCTTAGCTCTCCTTGTTTAAATGCATAAGTGATTGCTGCTATGCTGAACCTCTGAATATGTTTTCTAAGTTCTTTTTTTTGTTTTGTTTAAATTTATTAGAGATTGCTGCTATGCCTTTGAACCCCTGATATGTTTTCCAGGTTTTTTTACAACTCATGTTATAACTAGACAGAACCCCTAATATGCAACAACCATTGAACATCGATACGAGTGTTTAGATGGGTTATGAGATGTATTCATTTCTCAGCCTCATTTTTGTGCTTTACAGGCTTGATAAGTAACTTTATTTCTTTTTCTTTTCAGTTGAATTTCTTATCCAACTTTTTTTTATGTAAATCTCATTTTTTAATCCTTAATATAGGTGTTTGGTTTCTTATAAAAAAAAGTTGTCAATATTAAAACAGCAATGGGCTTGGCCATTTTGTTAGTTTCACACATTTGAAATAGTTATGCTTGTTGTATTGAGTTGTTGTCAATATCTTTTGCTAGAAGATTGCGTTAGCAATTTTTTCTTTTTCTTTTTTTTTTTTTTGATGTGGGGAACTAGGGAAAGGAAAACCAAACAAGGCACAAAGAAACTGTAACTGGAGAGAGCATCTGATCATGTGGGATCCTTATTACGAAGCTGCCATAAGGAAGCTTAGAGGCTGACATAAGGAATTTCCGTTGTCATTTCCAATGGAAACGTCGGATAATTCAAATTTAAGTGAACTTCTAAGAGCCCTTTAAGGAGGATAGAGGGGTCCCCGGATGATATATTTGCCTTGATGCTACTTGTGTAGATGTGACCTTTAACTGGGAAATCCTGTCTAGTGGTTTTGCAACCATGTGCAAGCATGCATGTGCTTGATTTTCTGGGTACATTTGTGTAGCTCACGACCACTTGCAGTGGTCCATATAAACTCTATTTACACTGCAATTTGAGAAATTTTTGTTGCTTAGTTTATCCATCAGTGCTGGCATTTGAATATCTCAGTATTTTTCTTATTTTTTTCGATTTTTGCTAGTCAATATCTAGAGTGCCTACTGATTTAGTATGGTACAATTTTAGTGTGGGTGCCATAGAGCCTCTTTTTCTTTGGAAGGTTGAATGTATTCATTTTTTCCTTTTATGTAAGGTAATTGTGAAGGAAATAAATTTTGTCGTGCAACACAGTCAATACTCAACCAGCCAGAAATCTGAGCAATCAGAATCAGGAGGTACTATCCATATTGCAAGTTGGTGAATATATGTTCTGCTAATGTTCTAACGCCTCTTTCCCTCTCCTTTTCTCCTCCCCTGTCCCCCCTGTATTACTTACCATCAGCAGTTTGGAAGTGTTTGCAAACTATCAACTAATTGGAGATGTGGATTTGAGGAGAGGAAATTTTGTGGCTGGGACTTTAAAGGGGGTGTTTGGATTGCAGATTTAGGTGGATAACACATGTAGGATTGGTTAAAAATATGGTGGGCCCCATTTAACTCATGTTTGGGAAATAAATTTCATATAGGGGTGTTATTCGAGCCGAGCAGGCTGAGCTTAGGTATGTTCATGCTCGGCTTGACTGTAAAGGGACTTGTTCGGACTCAAGCTTGGCTTGAGAAGATTTGTGATCTTTCAAGCCGAGCACGAGCCAAAAAATGAGCTCTCTTTCTTTCCAAAGAAATCTAAAAAATTATACATAGATCATTCAATTTTTGGGTAAAAACTTTAGAAATCAAACCCTAAAATACTCGATTCTTCAGCTTTAAAATAGATCTTAAGCAAATGGATTATATCTAGAAGAAAAATGAAATAAAGAAGAGAAAGAAGATAGATATGGAACAAATGCAACCAGATCTGGAACAAAAACGGAATAAAAAAAGAATGAAAAGGCTGATCTGGAAGAAAAATGAAAAAAACTGAGGAAAAAGAAAGATCTGGAACAAATGCAATCAAATTTGAAAAAAAAACAAAACAAAAATAAAAGGAGACGACAGATTTAGAAGAAAAATGAAAAAAAAAAGAGAAGATAGAAGAGATTTGGAACATATGCAACCATATCTAGAAAAAAAAATAACAAAAAAAGACAGAAAATCTGGAACAAGAAGGGGCAAAAACAATAGAGCAGGCAGAAGAGAAGGAAGAGTAGAGCCATGAAATTTTGAATTCTGATACATAGCGTTGTGCGTGTCTGATACATTGCTCCAGTCACTGTGTGTGTGTGTATGAGAGAGAAAAAGAGCACTCTGAGATGGACGGAGAGACGGAGAGACGGAGAAATTATAGAATAGTCAAAGTGTGTGTTTCAAGATAAAAAGGACAAAACATTGAATAATCCAAAGTAGTGCTAGCCGATAGGTATCTAATGCATAAAAAATCGAGCGGCTCGGGTTCGAGCTCGTTTTACAAAATGAGCGAGCCAAAGTTGAGCCGAGCCCTAGCTGCCCGTATCGTTTAACAACCCTAACTTCATGATTGGATAACTCGATTGGACAATAAACTGACCCAGAATGCATAGTGACTTTTAACCTACCTATGTGGGTTATTTGAAATCCATGGGGGAATGGGTTTCAAGGCATCCACTAGGATATCTTGGGTCAATTACTGTTTTTTCCATACGTTCCTCGCATCATTGTTGGTGCCAACAGACACCATTCCTCCATCAATTTTTTTTTAATCAGATTCTTCCATTAATTCAATTATGAAAAACCACTGGTGCAACTCCAATACCTTCCTACCCCTCCTTGCCCCAATTGCATGTGAGGAAACGAAGTCACATACATTTTCGGTTCAACTTCAAACTTGCGAGCATCTACCGTCGGCGGAGTCATCACATAAGGAATCTCACCGCCTCAGCTTTCATCCGAAAATCCTCCAAAGTCATCCAAACTCTTTATCATCTCCTCCACTGCCCTTGATCTACTTTCACTTATCATCTACCGCTTTGTGCCCCTTATTTTCTTCACACCTCCACAACGGATTCACCATCATCATCGGCAACAAGAGGACATATGTCAGTGTCTGCATAGATGTTCTTGAGGGGTTTCATTCATGCTCATGGAGCCAAAGTGGATCGTTGGGTGGATTAGCTTCGACAACGCTGTATATTGAGTATTTGGAGAATTGATTGTTTGAAGGCCAATCTACCAGACTTTGTGATTATGGTATATATTTGTATGGATTTTTATATTGGAAATTGATATTCTCCTTGGGGATGGTTTTTAGGCGAAATTTTGTAATTTTTGATTGAATATGCTAAGGGGTATAATGGTCAAAACATGCCTAATTAATACTTTTTAAATCACTTATCTCCATGGCCCCATGGAAGTGAAATATTGTTAACCAAACATTTGCTAGGGTATGAGTTATCATATATCCAATCCAATGCAAGTAGCTGGGTGGGTTTGGCTTGGATGAGAATCTAGGAAGCACGGATATGCCTCCAAAGGTCGACGTGGCGGTGTCGGACAGGTGTTCAACACGGCTGGACACGTGTCCGACACTTCCAAAAGTGTCCTGAACAGCGATCAAGCATGTTTTGTGGACGAATACGACTCGGATACGGGAGAGATACAACTACATATCTTTGGTGAAACCCAAAAAAAAAAAAAAAAAAAAAGAGGGTTACAGACCTTAGATCAGCCAGCCACAGATGTCATCTTCTTTTACTTATGCGACTCGCCACAGACCTGAGATCAGATATGGATACTTTGGGATTCTTTTTCCTGATGCTTCTGGAGGTTTGATGCCATCAGATCTATCGTCGATCGGCTCGGTGTGATTAGCTCTCTCTCTGTCTCTCTCTGCGCGATTGGTGTGATCGGCTTGCCCTAAATGCTCGCAGCTTCGTTCTCTCTTCTCTCTCTCTCTCTCTATGTGCGATTGGTGTGATCGGCTTGCCCTGCTCACAGCATTGTTCTCTCTTCTCTCTCTTCTCTCTCTCTCCCTCTCTTTGTTATGGTGTTGTGTTCACCAAACAATTAGACTTCTTATTAATCTAGCCCACTACCCATTACCTATAGCCCCAGCTCATAACATTTAGCCCACTTGTTAAATTTAATATTATCGCATTTGTCTAATTATAAAATATTAATTAATTCTACAATTTTATTATTAATGTTATTATATATATATAAAAATATTATATTATTTTAATTAGCCGTATCCTCGCTGTACTCGTGTCCTATATTTTAGAATTTTTTCGTATCTTCGTGTTCGTATCGTATCGGATACGACACCTATGTCCGTATCCGTGCTTCCTAGATGGGAATGGATACAATTTGATATCCTATCCAATCCTAGCCGGTAATCCAAACACCACCTTTGTTTAGTTTGAACCAGAGCCAAGGTTTTCAAGACATGTATCGTGATTCTGAAATAATTTCTATTTCTTAAGCATATCAACAAAGTGTGCACGGTAGAAGTGCTGGATTTGGGTTGTAGGTATTAAAGCTTCTTATCATTAAAGGAGGGACCAAAAAAATTGTTTTTTTCAGCATCACTGGCCTGATCTGGCTCAATTGTCCAACTGGAGTTGATCTAAGGCTGGGAACCAGTTGAGCTTGGGTAGTGGTGATTTGGTTGGGTTATGTGGTAATAGTTCTTTATAATTTACACCAGGGTGTAATGTAACATTTGTCCTTTCGACTATCTTTATAATATACTTTTTGAATTCATTCTATCAATTCTGTATGTAATTTGTTATTATCTTTGTCTCTTCCGTGCTTACTGGTGTTCTCATCATGTTGCAAATTTAGAGTACGAAAACCACCTTCACTTGTGGCAAGTGTTCTTTGCCAACCCAGATGAGTGGTGGGATAATAGAAGAACCAAGATCAATCCAAAAGGTCCAGATTTTAAGCACAAGGATACTGGTGAATGTCTCTGGCTCAGCCCCAATGATCCTCCATGGATTAAAAGACAACTCCAACTGCAGGATTCTACATGGGGAGAAGAACGGCTACAAAAACATGAGAGTTCCCGTTCAACTGTGTCCCCGTTGTTCTATGATGGCTCGGAAAGCATCTGAAAGCTCTAATAGAGAACAGAAACCAAACATTAGATACTGCCATTATTTCCCTTCAATTGCTTCTACAGCTCGATTGCTGTTGCTTATTGCCTCTATACAAAGTGATCAACTGTAATGGTGTCTCTGTGGAATGAAAGGAAGGGATCGTGTCTTTTAATCAAGGATTTGCATTTGCCAATCTTACAGCTCGAAGTTCCAATATTTGTCAGATATGAGAGGAGAATTTCCAGAAGACGAGATAGACCGCACCCTTCATACCATAGCTTATTCAATGGAGATCAGTATGTCACATTTCATCAATGGATCTTCTCTCCATTTTACCGGGAGGTCCAGAGAGCATGGAAAAGGTAATGATGTTGTTATTAGTTAGGAAATTAGATATTGTCGTCTTTAGTTATCTGAATACATAAAAGCAATTCTTATGCCTGTCTTGTTTATTAACAAAAATCATGCAACAGATGCAGTAATCAAAAGAAAATGTTTGCAAATGGGTAAAATGCTCAGTCATCTCTTTACCCAGAAACTGTTTCTAGGACTTGCTCATATAGTCATATTCGTCGACCTAGACACGCACAACCCGCGCAACAAAAAGAAGGCCAATAGAGACTTCATAAGAGTCCGAGCTGCAGATCATAACTCTCCTTCTGTTTCGGCACAAGAGGAGTAGGGCTGATGGTTAGGCTTACATGAGGTGGGCTTATGTCTATTTTGCTTGGTTGCAAAAGGTTAGGTTCAAATTCAAGTAATTGAATGTCAAACACAGCTCAGAATAAGGATGTGAGCTCCGACTGAGTTCGGGGTTATCCTTTTTATTGTTTGTATTTTGTTTGCAACTAATTCTCTCTTCGGTCCAGTCAAAAATTGATCATTCCGATTGGGATTAGGATATTAATGAGGAATAAATTTATCATGGCTTGGCCTAAAGAGGTCGTTAAGATTTGAACTCTAAACGTTTGAATTTACAGTTCAATCAATCTTATTAACGCTTTGAGTTATCCTTGGGGGTTGACTTTTGTTTTTTTTGTGTTGATAATGTTTTAACACCTCAATTATTAACAAATTAAGATGGACTAGGTTAACCTAATATAATGAGATTAAACATAAGAGGGTTTGAAAAAATTTTCCTCCTCAAAAACTTAATTCTCTTATTTTGGGATTATTTAATAGAACAATAATTGTGTAATAACATATTTGATTATTATTAAGAAAAATCAAAACACAAATATGTAATTTTTTAAGTAATGTTAGAACAAGGGGAAGAGTGGGTTAAGATTGCAAATTTCACACTTAACAAATAGTATGGCCCCCGACAGAGTATAATCGTTAAAATTGATTCACGTAATTGATCCTAAAAATGTTAGGACAAGGTTAATTGAGATATGGGTACGTTTAGATTTTGTACAAAACACAATCAAGTTTTTGTATAGACAATACCACCTCACCACATTAGATGTAATGAAGTTATTCTATTGTGATTTGAGTTCAAATCACGAAAATATTTATTTCACACATGAAGACAAGATTGTAAGTTTGGCAATCACAAATTTCATAATGGGTAAAGTCTCGTGTAATAGATTATACTATAGTATGATTGAGATTGTTGTGATAATGGAATCAAAGACTTCAGAAATCAAGGAACATGACTTAAGTTGTTTTATGGCTTGTGGACAATGGGTGGGTCTTATCTTTCATTTGAATAAAAAGTTTTTTTGAATAAACTTTGAGGACAGAAATTCAAAAAGGTGATTCCATTATCACAAAACAATTTGACTGATAATTTTTTCCATATAATTCCAAGTACTCAGATGCCTGGGGGCATTTTTTTTTTTTGTTACAATGGCATATCATCATTGTAGAAAAATAAACTATCATAAAAAAAAAAAGTAATACATTTACATGATTAACATTAGAAAAAAACTTGAAGAAGAAAAAAAGGTGGTCTACCCTCATCTCACATTTTATGGTTTAGAGAGAATCAGATATACGTAATTTTTGTATGTATTTGAAGGTGCTGTTTTTACGACTCGAATACTTGACACTAAGATTACAATGAGAGGGAATCAGATATACGTAATTTTTGTATGTATTTGAAGGTGCTGTTTTCACGACTCGAATACTTGACACTAAGATTACAATGAAGAGATTAAGACGTCCAATTGAGAGAACACCGAGAAATCAGTTATTGTCTTTGATTAACATTGTACCATTCTGAAATTGATTTTTTTTTGGTGCAGAACAGATGTTTGAAAAGTGAAATGAAAAAATCAGGGTTAAAAAATTTTTTTGAGTCGTTTGGAGTGCTCCTAAAAAAATCAACTTTTTAACTAAGATAAATTATTTTTTTTTATTTTTTTTTGAAGCTCATAAAAGTAGTTTTTGTCAAAAAAAAAAATTAATAAAAAAAGTCGTCTAATAAGTTTGGGTCCAAACTGATAATTTTTTTTTTTTCTTACTTTCAATCCTCTAAAAGTAAAAAATTTCAACCACCTTCAAACAGACGCATTGACCTATTGATCTCTAGATTTGAAAATTATTAGTGGCAAAGGTTGAATTCAATTAGTTAAATGCATGGCTTTTCAACACTACCCAAGAGTCATACGACGTACTGTATAACTTAGTGGGTAATTCTTAATTACTGGGGTTTGACGGTCATTTATGAGGTCAACTACCACCTCTCCCCCTATTCTTCCCACCCACAGACTTTAGTTGCTTTGATGGCTGAACCACTTGGTAGGCATTTTTGTCTCGTCTTTCAAAGACTTGCGTGTTCACGTTTACAACTCGTGCCCTAAAAACATGGGTGGCTTCAATCTACAATTCCTTATGGTCTTTGCTTCAATGATTTTCTTCCTTTGGATGAAGATGGGATAGCTCTAGTAGCTAAGAATTGAACTTTCGAGTTTTGACTTTTTGGTTCATTTAGTTGAAGATAGCTGATATGGATTGATAATTTTATTAGCTTCGTGCACATTCTATTGAATATGTAGAGAAGCAATCTTGGCCAACAACGACAGTACAAGATGTGGAGCAACAACAAAACCCTTAAGTATTTTGTAACGGATGTGTCTTTGGTATAATGATACTTTTTATTTTGTGAAAATTTTGTCTTTTTGAAGTTAAGGGTTCAAGTCTCATCTTGATCATTGATTAATCTCAAGAAATAACTCAAGTGGTAATAGAGACGAACTGTAAATTAATTCAGACATTTTTAGTTCGAATTTTGACAACCCTTTAAACCTAAACCAGGAGAGATTTATTTCTTATGAATATTCCCTAGTTTCGGCGTGGATGACCTGCATCTGATCGGACTAGAGACGAAATTAGTCGAGGTGCCCATAAACTAGTCCAGACACCCATAACAGTTGAACCAAAAAAATACTAAAGAACTAGTTAAGCTATGTTGCTAATTATATTATGGAACTGATCTGATCGAATTGAATGTAATTAAAAAAAGAGTAGGATGTCAATAAGAAACCAAATTCTCGAAGGATTGATAGCAAGATTGAAAAACACAGTGCCTAATAGGAAAGTAGTGAAGCATTTGGTCCCTTTTCATTGAGGTCATATATCCTTGGGAAATCCCTTTTTCTCTATTTTGATACCTTGGCATTATGCATACTCATGACTACAACATAAATTTAAGTTACATGCTGACGATACCCAAAGAAAAGATTAAGTTAGCACCTCAAACTGGTCTGCAAGACTGCACAAAGCCTGGTTGACCTCACTGAAGTTTTGTCGACTTAACCTACGAGGATTCAGGTCAGTCAGCCAAGACACAAAGCAGTTCAACAATCATTAAAATAGCTCGACAATCACTAGGAAAAGGTCAAAAGAGGAATTAGACCACTAAACCTTAACTTAGGGAAGAAGACATCTTCTATAGAATGTCACGTTACACTTAAGAAAAAAAATTTGTATTCTCTCAAATATTTTATTTAACATATTGGAGAACCACACCATCATGACCGTAAAGACTACACCACCCTCGTGTATAAATAGACAAGTCTCTCTCTCGACAAGGCATGTGCAATTTAGAGCCCTCATTGTAGTTCTCCTCCTCTTCTTCTTCTTCTTCTTCTTTTAGCCAGATTCTTTTCAAAACCTTCTTGTTCTCTTCAAATTTAGTGGGTAGCTTCAATGTATCTTGACATGGTACTATGCCTGTCGGAGCATCTGCCAATGATTCGAGCAGCATATTATCAACCTTTGAGAATACAAAAAAAAAAATGTTATTCAAAAATTATTTGTTGATGTTATTTACTAATATAATGTATTACAATTATTGAATTAATAGTGGTGCTCAACGAATAGCTGTCCATTTAATGACAGTGATTATAGGTTAACAACATTAGTTAATATATTCGGTCCAAATAACATTGCTCGATAGAAATTTTGTCAATACCTTATTTACCCAAAAAAGAAAATATGCAATACTCCTACTAAAAAACATATCTTTAAAGAATAATACTATTTGGACCTAAAAATTTGACTTAATTTGTTGACATAATAATGTGATTTTATAGGAATGAACTGTAAAACCAAACCTCATGAATTTCAATCTTAACTATTCTTTGGGGCTAAATCATAACGAGTTTATTACTCATGAATAACTTAGGCTTAGTGTAAATAACCTGCATTTGATCAGACTGAAGAGAGAATTAATTAAAATACGTATAAATTGATCAAATACACCTAGACTGTTGAACCAAATACCAGCGAGGGTATGACAGTCATTGTTCCCGTCAACGAGTCGTCCCTGTGGGGTATGCTCGAAGTTCCGAACCCTTGGCCTTTTGGTTTCCCTCAGCTTACTGATAGGGAATCTTTGTGTTCATACCATGAGCAATGGTATTCAAATTTAATTTAAAGATCTAAATAATTAATAAATTAATCATATTTTTTAAAATTAAATATAATTTATTGTGCGTGCAGGATCTTGCACAATATAAAAAACGAGAACAGATCTCTCCCTTGATGAACTCGAGTGAGTCAGTTGAGTGATCAACCACGCTACTTGGGACAGCCTGTGAGGTCCGGTGGTAACCTGGAACGGCAACGGGAGACTCTTGTGGATTGAAGGAACGATCCAGTAAGGCTGGAGAAAGGTTCCTAAAACAAAGAAGAACAAGTTAGAAGGGCGCCAGAGTGTTTTCCGGCGTATTCCTTTCGACGATCAAGTCAGTCTTTTAGAGAGAGAAGAAGAAGAAAATATTGAGTGTATATTATAGCAAAGGTTTTTTGTTGCATACCGTCTTGCCTTTTACGAGGAGTATTTATACCTCAAAAGCTCATGATTGCTGTCAGTGTTGTCAGTAGGTGATCATTAGGTACAGGCAGTGTGCGCACTGATTCTGATGAGGAATGTCTTCTCTTCTTTAACTGCTCGGAGTCCCGAGCAATCAATGTTGTGTCATCGGGCTGCCGACTGTCCAATGAGCTCCACTCGGGGAGGATGCAATAAATGTCCAGCCTTAGAGACATTTATTGCCTTTCAATTCCGAGTCTTACAGCATTGAATGCGGTCTCATCAAGGGAATGGTGTAATTAAATGTTTGCTTTTCCAAGTCGCGTGTCAGCAAGGGCATGCGGTCTTTCTGTATCTGATGTGACACAATTTGCCACGCGTCCATCCCTCATTGGTTGTGGACCCTGCCTTCCTGTGTCTTCTGACACAAATTGTGTAAGACGAGACCATGATAGCTAATCTAGACTAGCCTAGGCTAATGACCTGTACATCAATAGCTTATACTGGAGCAGAGAAAAGGCATCCTGGATGGGGGTACATCTCGGTACCGAGGAGAGGTATATCTCGAGCCGAGGGGAGCTGTACATGACGACCGAGGTACCATATCAGACCGAGGGATACGTGTCGGTTCGTAAAACGTACTTGATCATATCAAGTACCTCGGGGGCGAGGGAGTTGTAAGTCGATGGTACGTGATCTCAGTAACAAGATTTTTAGTGACGTCGAGGACACGTGTCTTTATCTTGGAGTATTTCAGAAAAGTCACATCATTCATCATCAATCAAATTGTCGCAATTAAATAAATCTCGAAATTAAATTCCCAAATTGATTTCAGCATGAAAAGTTACCATCCATGGTTCGTCGAATTAAAAATAATACATGATTTATATATTTTTTACAATCAAATAGCTGCAAATACATCAAATTAAGATCTATAAATACTACTGACTTTTATATTGTACAAAAGGTTTTTTTTATTGGGTAATGTAGCCTGATCTATCAACACATGAGAGTCTAATTATAAAACTTAATGGTCATACTTTTTTTTTTATTTTTGACCAATTATAACATGTCTGGAATTTTATATTTCATTCTTTTTATAATCAATAACCGTAAATAAGTCGAACAAAGGTGTATGTTACAAATCATCTTTTTGTACTATAGTCTTGTCCGTATATATATGCATATTACATACACAGTATTTTCGGGCTCATACGATGCATAAAATTTACAACACTGTCCTACTCACATATAAACCCGTTTAATTTATGTAATATTGTCATTTGTTAACGAAAAAAAGGAGGCAAAGAATTAATGCGTGGAGCAAAAATATGAAGAAAAAATATTATAAAATAAATTTTTTAAAAATTGTTAGCAGTGATAATTAGAGGTATCAAAATATAATACGATTCGTTAATATGACACAAATACAACATGAAATTATAAGATTTAGGTCTTTCTTAAGTCACTCATTTTGTAAACGAGTGTACATGATACGATACAATTAGTAGACAAGTCGGATGAGTGAAATATATATATATATGACACGAATTATGTATATATCGGTTATACACGATCTATATACGACACGAATTCAATATGACACGATTCATGAAACATAAAATAATAAATAAATCGAATATCTATACTAATAAGATAGGATCCAATTTGAATCTTTTTCTATTTTAAAATTTAATTCAATTTTAATTTATTTGGGAAAGCACAAGGACGGCTCAGATTAAATCCACTTTTAATTCAAGGTTCAAATTTCATCTCAATTTTTTCAACATAATTCAAAGGCTCAAAATACATCTTATACAAATGCCAAATCCCGCCCCAAAATTAAACCCACTTACACGTTACCCAACTCCTACACGCCACCCAATCTCAGTCAGACTGTCTCTCTACCTTTCTTTCTCTCTCTCTCACAGAAGATCCCAACTCAAACGGTAACACATCCACTACCACCATCTCCCTCTCTCTTTCTACCCTGCAACTCTCTTCTACCTCTCACCTTTTGCTCTTCTCTGCCGTGGCTCAACCCAGGTGTCTCTCTCTCTCTCTGCCATACCTCTCTTCCTTCACCTCACACACATACACATACACACAAACACAACAACCCACGCACACATAACACGCTACAGATCACCCTCGTTCACCCACCCACACACCCAAGACAGAGGCACACACGCACACACAGCAACACACGCACACGCACACACATAGCAGCATGCAGAGACACACAAAACACAGCAANCACACACATTACACACGCAGCAGCATGCAGAGACACACAAAACACAATTGACACATTCTGTGTTAATATTCTGTGTTAGGTTTTCTAATTAGGTGCTAAGTTTTGTAATATTGAATGTTAGGTTTTTCAAATTGGGGTTTTCCATTCAATAGGGTTTGTGACATTTACAAATTTGGTGTTTTTAATGAAATAAGGTTTGTGACAAATTGAATGTTGTATGCTAACTATTTGTTAAAATGCTTCACTCAAGCGATTTTTTTTTTTTATCTTCACTCAAGCGATTTTGTATGCTAACTATTTGGATTTTGGGCTTTTTAATTTACTTTCAACTCTTTTGTTTGTTTTTACATATTATAATTTGATGCTTACTAATTGCTTATGGGGTCGGGCAGCGGCATGTCTGATTTATGGGTACTAAAGGAGATTGAAACGTTTGAATTTAAGTGGGTAAAAAGTGAGGAGGTTGGAGAAAATAAGAATATTCCCCATGTTTATGTCTTTTGTTAACTTATTACACTCTTAAGCACTTATTCTACATATTTTTTGCTCTCAGGAAATTAAAAGAATTTCATGAAGTCTCTGAATTTGAATCAGACATGCCGCTGTTAAATAGATTCTACTTTCTCATACATCTAAAGTTGTTTAACTGATGGAAAAAAAAAAAGCAAAGTATGAAAGGTGATTGTGGAAGTGGTTCAAATCTCCAATACTTTTGTGGGTCTATGTTGTCATGTGTTGCAATCAAGATGTGTTGAATAGACGAGTTTTTTGTGGTATGTTAAATTATCTCTTGAAGTACTTGGTTCCTTTCTTTTGTGATCTTTGAACAGCTTTCTTTGCTTACTTGGATCTTCATCAAGGAGCTATCAAGGGATCAATTTAGGAATAAAATGGAGTACTGTAATTGCTATTCAGTGGCTTATGTATTTAAAGTACTCATTCTGTTTTTAAATTTTGAATGGCTTTGTGGCATTTGAACTACTCATGTGACTTACTTAGTTGTTTTTGGTCTTTTTAAGTAGACTGCTTATGATTTGACTGCAGTGATATTATTGTGCAAATACTGAAAATATGATATTAAATGCTATTGAAAATAAGTAAAATTATGCTTAAATGCCAAAATTTGTTTGACAGATGGATGACAATCTATGATTTTATGTGTATAAAAATGTTTATGACTATTATAATTATGAAGCTGGTAAATGATTGAGTAAACAGTTCTATTAAGGCAACACTGTTATATAATTGTGAGTTCGGTGAAAAGTTTGATCTGTATAGATTTTAATTTAGAGTTTGTAAACATTGTAGCAATGTTGTTTTGTTTTGTAATAGTTGGATGTTCAAACTTGGGTTTTCCATGACATCGAAATTCTATTAAAGCAAAATCTTGATGTTATCATTGAAATGTTAGTAAGGTAAAATCTTTGAATGTTATACTGTATGGTTTTGGATTTGATGGTCAAAGTATTGATGCTCACTTTTAGTTACAAACTTCAATTATTAACTCAAGTAGTTGGACATTTTGAACGAGAGGCCTTGAAACATTTTTTATTTTCAATTTAATTTTTTTCCTTAATGCAACAATTGTTGGTTTTTTATTTTTGTGTTACGATGCCTATAGGGACAAGTGTTACCTTTTTTTTTTTCATTCTAGACTTAATTTGTAAATAATCTGGAAAAACAATTTTCGGCTTTGGGATTGAATTTCCGTTATGTGTATAGTGTTCCACTTTAGTTTTCGGGTTGAATTTTTCAGGAAATATATATTTTGTTTTGAAAAGTGTTTGTTTAGAGCTTTTAATTTTCCAGAACTATAATATGGTAGATGATGATTGAGTTGGTTTTCCATTATGTTGGTTCTCATAATTATTTCCCCTTTTTAATATGGTAGCCCATATTTATGATTTTATTGTTGTCTTAATTGAGATTTATATTGTGTGTTATGTGGTGAGTTTAGTAATTGGTTTGAGCCATATTTTTACTAATATATAATTTTTTTTTGTTATACAATGCCTTCAAACATGAGTCCGTTGCTATTGAATATTTTTTTTTTGAATTATGTTGATTCTAACTGACGAGAAAAGCAAGGGGACATAAGTTTTGAATTTTCAATTTAGTTTTGCCTCACATTTTTGGGCATGCATGTAAGCATGCTTGGGATTATTTTTTTGTGACTTCACATCCAGAAGACGTTGATTCAAATCAGGCAATATTGTGGTGGTGGTTGTTAGCAATCTTATTGATATGTGTTTTTTGGTCATATTTCTTTGCTAAAGAAGATAAAGTTGAAGATAATTATTTCTCTCTTTGAACATGTGTGTTTTGTGTATGTCCAATTTGTGTGTGATTTGTTTGTTCCGTGTTTAGTAAGTTGAACTAATCACACATGCGAAAATGTTGTTTGATGAGAATTGATGGTTGGTTTTGGAATGGTGATTTTGGGGGAAATAGAGTTGTATTGTAATGATTGTTATGTATGATTATGATGGTTATATGTTTTGTTTGAATTATGATGTTATATCTGACTTAGGTTGGATAATTTTTTCTTGAGATTGATTATGCAATGGTTTGTATTCGACAATGATACATACAATGAGATATATAAGTTTTGTAGACAGGTTGAGATTTTCTTAGGATTTTATCTATAGAGGAAACTTTGCCGATATTTTTTTGAAAAAATAGTAGAGGCTTGATTAATTTTAATTTCTTTAATTAAAGCAAATGAAGGAAAATGTATTTTAACTGACAGATTTTTTAGTTAGCAAAGTGCTTTTAGACACGGATTAATTTTATTTTTCGTTATCTCGTGCCTTCAGACACGGACAATTATTAGTAAATAAAATATTTTTCAAAAAAAATCCGCGATAAAAAGCGAACTCATCTCACTTCACACAATTCATATAAGTAATGGTAATATCTAGATTTGGCATGACCATTTCTGTAATTCCGTTTGACAATAAGGTAACTTCCATTTGTTTACCACAACACAAACAAAAATTCAACAGAGCCACCAATTTGGAGCGAAACCTCTCCATCTTCCTCCCCAAAATAGGCCACCAAAGATGGCGGTGACGAACTTCTTCGCCAACAAAATCGCCACCGAGCTCCTCAAGATGCTCATAACCATCTCAAGGAAATCAATGTTCTGCAAGAACAATGCCGAAGAACTCATCACTTCTATAGAAGAACTCCAACCGATCATTCACGAAATCAAATACATCGGCACAGAACTTCTGGCGGCTCGCCAGCGTCAAATTGATACCCTCTCCGAAACTCTCCGTAATGGCCTTGAGCTCGCTGGAAAAGTCCTCAATTCCGACTGTCGGAACATGTACAAGAACTTACAGTTAGAGAGAAAGATGGAGAAGCTTGAAAAAAATGTTTCAAGGTTCTTACAAACTACTGTGCAAGACATGTATCATGATTCTCAAATAATTCATATTTCTTAAGCATCTCAACAAAGTGGTGCATAGTAGTAGCGCTGGATTTGGGTTGTAGCTATGGAAACTTCTTATCTTTAAGGGAGGGACCAAAAAAATTGTTTATTTCAGCATCACAGGCCTAATCTGGCTCAACTGTCCAACTGGAGTCGTTGGAGTTGATCTAAGGGTGGGAATCAGTTGAGCTTGGGTAGTGGTGATTTGGTTGGGTCATGTGGTAATAGTTCTTTATAATTTACACCAGCGTGTAACGTAATATTTGTCATTTTGACTATCCTCATAATATACTTTTTGAATTCATCTTATTCTCAATTCTGTTTATAATTTGTTATTATCTTTGTCTTTTTCGTACTTATTGGTGTTCTGTTCTCATCATGTTGCAAATTTAGAGTACGAAAACCACCTTCACTTGTGCAAGTGTTCTTTGTTGGGTTCTTTTGTGGAGTTTAGTTTTTGTGTTGATTTGGATGATGATTCGATCCGAAATAATGTTTCGTATTTTTTAATGAAAAATTTTCTAAAACTTAGTCCATGTAGTTAAGGCTTTTTTGGCCCGTTTTGTAGTCCTGTGTGCAGCACATATATAAACTGTTATTCGGTGATTAGGGTTTTGGATTCTGTACGACCCTCTCTGTATTCTTTCTTGAGAATAGTGAAATTCCTGCAGTTTCGTGGACGTAGACAAATTACCGAACCACCTAAATTTTGTGTTGTATGATTATTTGAATTGCATTCTTATCGTTCTTTTCATTAATTTCACTTTATTGTCACCGTTTGATTTCACAACATTCTTTGCCAACCCAAATGAGTGGTAGGGTAATAGAAGAGCCAAGATCAATCCAAAAGGTCCAAATTTTAAGCACAAGGATATTGGTGAATGTCTCTGGCTCAGCCCCAATAATCCTCCATGGATTAAAAGACAACTCCAATTGCAGGATTCTACATGGGGAGAAGAATGGCGACGAAAACATGTGAGTTCCCGTTCAACTGGTGTCCCCATTGTCCTATGATGACTCGGAAGGCATCTGAAAGCCCTAATAGAGAACAGAAACCAAACATTAGATACTGATGATACCAAAAATTCTCCAAGGTTAAGCTCAACCAAGAAGCAGCTTGGACCTCTTTGCTCGGACTCTCAGCTCAGGTCTTCTACCTCGGATTTCTTAGCTCGGACCTATTAGCTCTGACTCCCAGCTTAGGTCTTCCAACTCGAGCATAGTGTGATAGCGACATCTCAAACCTTCCAGAAAGTCATATCATGCCTAGAGAATATAATATTTAATAGCCAAAGATTCCCGACACATAAGTCGTAACAACCACAAGAGGATCACGTTGATTACGGAAGAATCCCTATTGTTACAAAAGGTCACTACTGTTACGCAAGGATCACGACAACTACCCAAGGATCACGTTGACTACCCAAGGATCAGGCTAACTACGCGAAACTTCTACACACTATAAATAAGGACCGATCCCTCATTTTAGAGAGAGAGATCGGTGGATAGACTCTTTGTAACCTTGTACTCTTCTTTCCCAACTAATAGAAAAATCCCCAGGAGCAAGAGACTCCATTAGAGTGGACTAGTCAAGCTTGAAAGATGGTGAACCACTATAACTCTCTTGTCTATTGATTTCAATTGAAGGTTGTTGTCTCTGTGATTTGTTATTCACTATGAGCCTAATAGCTCAAACCGGTGACCCAATGAATACCCATTATCATCCTTAATAAATCTTTAACTCATTTTTCCCCTTTTTTAAGCCACGAGCTTTGCTATACAACCTCGTAAATTACACCATCAATTTGGCGTCGTCTGTGGGAACGGATTGTTCTGATTCCTGCTAAAATTCTACTAAACCATTCAGTAATTGATGGTCTCTTCGCACAACATCAACAAAAATCAAGAAAATTTGTTACGGTTATAAACCAACAGGAAACCACCGCCAGGGGACAATAGAGAATTCCCGTGAATCCTCCATCAAACCTAGAAGTCAATCTGACAATGGAAGATCCTCCTCCAAACAACGAACTAGAAGTGTTGCGTCAAGGCAATGAGTGCTTCCTCAAGCAAAATGAGGATCTAGTAACTCTTACCCGCACTTAGAATCTCTGGACGGCACAACCAACCCAAGATGATTCCCAACATGGGAAAACATCATCGTCAGAATCCCTTAAAGGAGATTATAGAAGAAAATAATCTTAGTCATTCTACTAATAATGTGCATCATAGAGCTAAGTCACATGAAGTCCAGAGTCAAGTCAGAGGGGTCCACAAAGACAAGCATGTCCCAGCTCCTCCCCAGCAAAATGGGAGGGATCAATTCTGGGAGCGACGTTTCAAGGAGATTCAACAAGAGCTAAGTCACATGAAGGAGGCAGTGAAAAGCAAAGCTTCGAGGACTATGGATACTTTGGTTCAACAAACGGAGTCACCATTCACTTTTGATGTGTTATACTTTCCTCTTCCCCAAAAATTCAAAATGCCTCAAATCGAAACATTTGATGGACAAAGGATCTTATGGACCACCTCAACACGTACAAGAATCAGATGGAATTGTACGAATACGTCGATCCAGTGCGCTGTCAGGCCTTCGCCATCACTTTGACGGGTTTAGCCTTAGCTTGGTTCAATAGACTAGTCCCATCTTCGATTTCCTCTTTTAGAGAGCTCTCTATTTCATTCGTATACCATTTCATAAGGGCCCGAACTTACCGAAAGCCTTCCTACCACCTATTTAGTGTGAAGCAGGGTCCAAACAAATCACTACAAAACTATGTTTAGAAATTCAACTCGGAGTCTTTAAAAGTGGATGTCTTTGATGAGAAGTTTGCCCTCACAACCTTTACCGCCAGGCTTGAGGTCCAATTGAAGGACTTATTATTTTCAATTGCCAAGAACCCCCAAGCCAGTATGGCTGAGGTGTGGACAAAAGCAGAAAAATACATCAATGGTGAGAAAACTCTCCTCTCTAAAGCTGGCAACTCCTCTACTCAAGGGGAGAAGGAAAAGATGATAGATCGAATCCCTAGGAAGGACTACATGTAGTCATGAAGCTGGTTAGGCCAAAAAAAGAAAAAAAAAAGAAGAAAGGAAAAAATTATTATTATGAGTTGCAAATTAAAGAAAGAAAAAGCATACCTCACTCATGAAACGTGGACCATTTAAAGAGGTTTTACCAGTAGTGAGGAGAGGCTAGAAAGAAAAAGATAAGAGGTCTTTCATGAAGATTCTTCATCAATAGATGAAAGATTCAACTCATTCCTTCAAAAAACGCGATGAGCTCTTTAGGTCATAAATTCAAGATGAGCTATTCAGCTCATGAATATCAGATGAGCTCTTCAGCTCATGAACTCAAGATCAGCTCTTCAGTTCGTAAATTCAAGATGAGTAATTCAGCTTATGAACATCCAATGAGCTCTTCAGCTCATGAACTCAAGATGAGCTATTCAGCTCATAAACATCCGATGAGCTCTTCAGCTCATGAACTCAAGATGAGCTCTTCAGCTCATTAACTCAAGATGAGTTCGTCAGTTCATAAGCATATGGTGAGCTTTTCAGCTCATGAATTCAATATGAGCTCTTCAGCTCATAATCTTAAGAAAAGCTTTCTAGCTCATAAATATAAGATGAACTTTTTAGGTCATAAACTCAAGATGAGCTCTTCAGCTCATAAATTAAGGATGAACTCTCAAGTTCATAAACAAGCGATGAGCTCTTTAGCTCGTAAACACAAGATGAGCTCTTAAGCTCAAAAACATATGATAAGCAACACAGGTCATTCCTGATCCAAGTCAAGCAAGGTAGCCTTGGCTCAAGACTGGCTCTTCAGCTCATAAACATAAGATGAGCTCTTAAGTTCAAAAACATATGATAAGCAATACAGGTCATTCCTGATCCAAGTCAGGCAAGACAGCCTTGGTTCAGGACTGGGGGACAACTAATGATACCAAAAATTCTCCAAGGTTAAGCTCAACCAAGAAGTTGCTCGGACCTCTTAGCTCAGGTCTTCCACCTCGGATTTCTTAGCTTGGACTTCCAACTCAGGTCTTCCAGCTCGAGCACAGTGTGACAGGGACATATCAAACCTTCCAGAAAGTCATATCATGCCTAGAGAATATAGTATTTAATGGCCAAAGATTCCTGATACATAAATTGTAACAACCACTAGAGGATCACATTGATTATGCAAGAATCTCTATTGTTACGAAAAAGTCACTACTGTTATGCAAGGATCACGGCAACTACCCAGGGATCACGCTAACTACGCGAAACTCTTACACACTATAAATAAGGATCAATCCCTCACTTTAAAGGGGGAGATTGGTGGATAGACTCTTTGTAACCTTGTACTCTTTTTTTCCAAATAATAGAAAAACTCTCAAGAGCAAGAGACTCCGTTAGAGTGGATTAGCCAAACTTCAAATCTGGTGAACCACTATAAATCTCTTGTCTATCGATTTCAATTGAAGGTTGTTGTCTCTGTGATTTGCTATTCACCACTATGAGCCTAATAGCTCAGACCGGTGGCCCAGTGAATACCCATTATCATTCTTAATAAATCTTTAACTCATTTCTCCCCCTTTTTTTAAGCCCCGAACTTGGCTATACACGCACGTAAATTACACCATCAATAGTTCATCCCTATTAACACTTTGAGTTATCCCTTGTGATTGACTTTTTTTTTTTGATGACAATGTTTAAACACCTTAATTATTAACAAATTAAGATGGACCAGGTTAACCAAATATAATGAGAGCAATCATGATGTATGTATAGTCAATTATATATATATATATATATATTGTAGTGATAAGAGGGTTTGAAAAATCTTTCCTCCTCAAAACCTTAATTATCTTATTTTGGGATTGTTTTATAGAACAATAATCAGGTAATAACATATTTGATTATTATTAAGAAAAATCAAAACACAAATGTCTAATTTTTCAGTAATGTTAGGATGAGGCAAGAGTGGGTCAAGATTGCAAATTTCACGCTTAACAGAAAGTATGACACCTAATAGAGTATAATAGTTGAGATAGATTCACCTAATCAATCCTAAAAATGTTAGGACAAGGTTACTTGAGATATTCGTACATTTAGGTTTTGCTAGTTTTTCTATGGGCAATACCAACCCTCGACAATGATGTTTTTCACTTTCTCCTCAAATACAGTAGCCGTTTTCGTGGACTTGGTCATTCCTTCAGTACGCTTAGTAAGACCAACACCCACGACACTGCACTATATTAAGGTACAGCGGCAACTACTGCTGTGCTTTTTTGCAACTTAAACCAGTGCATCATAGATGGAAAGTTATCATCATGAAACCATTAAATCAATTCTTTGTTGATTGCATAATTGAATTTGCATCTTAACAAAGTAATGAGGTTATTTTATCGTGATCTGAGTTCGAATCACGAAAATATTTGTTTTTCATATGAAGACAAGTTTGCACAAATTTCATAATGTCAAAAGTCTCGTAGAATAAATTATGTTATAGTATGGTTGAAATTGTTGTGATAATGTAATCAAAGACTTGAGAAATCAAGGAATATGACTTAACTTGTTTTTTTGGCTTGTGGACAATGAGTGGGTCTCATCTTTCATAAGACCAAAAAGTCTTTCTTAATAAATTTTGAGGACAGAAATTCAAAAGGTCATTCCATGATACAAAACAATTTGACTAATAATTTTGTTCATTTAATCAGCGGCGAATTTAGTATGGGGGTAGCCACTGAAATTTTAAAAAATTTTGGGACTTAGATATAATTTTAAAAATTTTAAAAATTTCTTAAACTTGCCATTACTGAAATTTTCTTAAAATATAGGGTATATTAATCTAAATTTTAACCCCTAAAAGCTAACTTTTGATAACTCCTCATTTTTCACGGGTAGTAGCTGCCCCCACTGAAGTTTTAAAAAAATTTGGGACTTAGGTATAATTTTAAAAATTTCAAGAATTTCTTATACTTAATCCCACTGAAATTTTCTTAAAGTATAAGGTATATTAATAT